CTAAATACCATATATCTCAACACCAAAATCATAACTGATAACCAACCTAAGCTCACACGAAGGAAAATGAATGATCGTATCTTTAAAGTTTTATGCTATTTTTGTGGAGATTAATTAGGAAAGGATCATAAGTCAAAGTATACAGTTTAGGGTAGAAATACTAATATGAATGTCAAGAAGTAGCAAATGAAGTAATGGAAAAAAGGAGAAAATGAATGATAGAAGTTAAGGAAGAAGTTGCTTTATATCATGACATTATCAAAGTCCATTACTTGGATACATGACATAGACATGATATATAATTAGGCATAGAATTATGTAGAATAGACGAATCATATATAAAGTAATAAGGAAAAAAATAGTCATTTTTGTATGTCATTATTATTGGTTTATTGAAGTCATTATAGGAATATTAATAATATTATCTTCATTCTCGTTTAAGGTAACATCTTTTTATGGGTAGAACTTTGTGTTGACTAGTGTAGTTTATCATGACTTTGAAGTTTGTGGGACTATTAATATGCATAAGAGTATGGTAATAAAAAGAGAGGATTGTGTGTTAATACAATGATGTGTAATTTTACAATATATAAGAAAATGTGGGAGAAGGAGAGTTTTGTTATTTCATGTGGTGATTAAGGTTGAAAAAGTAGGAGTTTGTGGTACTTAAAGATGAGAATATCATGATAAATTAAAATATTTTTAAGAGACATCTTAAACGAGAGTGTTTTTATGTATTAATTTTCTTTCACATAAAGTAATGTGTCTTTTTATATATTAAATATTTTTTTTATATTTAATATTATTTTATTTATTGATATTTTTAAAAAAAATATTTGAAATGTTTATCATTAAAATTTATTTAAAAATAATATATTATATATATTTATTCAAAAAAATTAATATAATTTAATTAAATGCATAAAGTACATAAAAATTTATTAATTTAAATTAATGGTTTAAATTACTTGGAGTGCATTGATGTGGGCACTTTTTTTTTTTTTAAAATGTAAGTAACATATCTTATTCGTGATTTTTAACACAATTGTAATTTTTAATAAAGGATATTAATAATTAGTACATTAATTAATGACTTTAAAATATTTTTTTATTAAAAATTATGTAAAAATAAATTAAAAATTAAAATACTGGTATATTAGTAATTTTTTAATAAAATTTTTTCACTTTTAATATTTTAACCTATGCTCTTAAAATTTTGACGAGCATTTGTTTTTAATAATTTTTTTTATTAACTTTTCAACATAAGAAACTACACCTGACTAATTTTGATTTTTGTCTTTTGCATTATTGTTTGAGTATCCAAATTCTCAAAGATCATTTATTAATTTCATTATTAGAAAATAGTATAATTTTTCTTTATTATCGATTAAAATATAATATTAAATCATAAATGTAGTATTCATTTCAAATAATTACTTTTTATATTAAAAATTTTTATAATTAAATTTTTAAATATATAATTATTTTTACTTTGGTCAAAAAATTTCTCTCATCAATAAAAGACAAATATTGTATGGATTAAAATATTTCAGACCAAAGTTATATTTCATAAGTAACAACGTATATATTTTAAACTTTTCAAATTTTATATTTTGAAAATTTAATTTATTTAATCTAACTTTTTATGTATTTCTAATTTTAGTTTTGTTTATATATATATATATATATATATATATATATATATAAATGTAAAAATTGAAAAGACAAATATGGTACAATGTAAATACTAAGATTAGTATATTTGCTAACTAGAGTACAACTAACCGTTATCATTGATGTTAATTAAAATAGTACAGTATAAAACAAAGTACAGTAAATGCTAAAAGGTTGATAAGATTACTATACAAAAAATATATTTTTTTTCTTTCAACCTATCTTTTAGGTCTGAATGCTCTAAAGAAGAAGAATGAGAGGTTTTTTTTTGAGTTTTACCATAAAAGAATCCTTCCCTCTCCTCAGTTTGGGATAAAGCAAGGAAGGATTTTGGGCAAAGGGATTGACGAGGGATTAATTTTTTTTATTAATTTAATTATTAAAAATATTTACATAATACAACTAATTCAAAAAATGTAAAAGCATTCAGAAAAATATTATAATAATATTTTAAAAATTAATTTAAAATTAATGATTATTTATGAAATAGTGTAACTTTTTTCACTCTTTTAGTAAGTAGAAGAGTTTTTTCTCTTCCATTTCTTTCTATATCTTATTTCAATTCAATCAAATATAAATCTTTTTAACAATATTTCTATCCTATTTGTTACCCTCCTATTTCTTTTTCCTTTATTACTTATATCTATTTCACTTATCATCCCAAAGAAACCCAAAAGAAATAATGAATGAAAAAGAAAAACATGAAAATAGTGTAATGTATGAGCCATTAGTTTTATGGAAATGTGATGTAAGAATACACAGACTTAAATTAAGTTCTTTTTCTAAAGAGAAGAATTCTAATTTGATACATATATTTGAGGCCTCTCATAACAAAAAACCAAGGATTACGCAAAATAAAGTGAAATAGATAATAGAATTACTGTGATTCCAAACCTCTTACAATTTTTTAAAATTTTAGTTTGATTTTTCTTGAATAGTTACAATTTCACTATATATTTTGTCATATCTTTATGATAAGATTTTCTCATGCTATTGACAAGGCTGAGGCAACAATTATAACTATTTGTTTAATTACAAACAATCACATTAAAAAAAAATCATTTACTACAATGATAAGACTACATATCAATAAGTCTTACTAGAAAAGTTATGTTTTCCCAAAGAGAAGATTAATTATTCTATTCAAGTATCATATTTATTCTAAAAAAATAAGATCTATCAATCAATTGTGACGTATATAGAAGAATTTGTACCCTCTTTTGACTTTGCGTACCATATGATTATGGCTGTATTTCTAATATATGCATATTTGCATAAATAAAGTACCATTTTCTATTTCGTTTCGTATTGAAAATCTAACACTTTTCTTTTATCAATTTAATGAATAACCCATATAAAAAGGAAACAACGCATGAAAAAGAATAATATTAAAGACCATGAAATGTACAAGTTATTAGTATCATTCAAACATGATGTTAAAATGTAATGACTTGTATTAAGTCCTTTTACTTTAAATAAGAATTTTAATTTGATACATTTGTGTGTTTCCTCGCATAAGAAAAATCAAGGCTTAGGCAATTGACGGTGAACTAACAAAATTGCAGTTATTCCAAACCTCCACACACCTTTTCAAAATTTGAGTTTGGTTTTCGTTGAACATTGGCAATTTCACTGCATATTTTGTCATGTTTATGTGGCAAGATTTTCCCATGCCCTTCACAAGGCTGAGACAACAACTGTCATTAACTGTTTGATTACCAACAAAGACACTAAAGAAAATTTGTTGACCACAATGTGGCTTTAACATGCTTGCACAGTTACTAAGATACTTTTCGTATGAAGACAATGACTTTGGAGCATAATTGATCTCAGTAGAAGGGCCCTGAGATGGAGGGAGAGTTTCAAAAGAAAGTGATGTGTCAACTAGATAGTTAAAAGTGATCATAAAGGCCACAACAACATACAAGCCTTTGAGTGATGTCATGACTCCTCAAACAACAATCCTTGGCTAGAAGTAGCTTTCCTTGCGATGGTGAGCAATCAAGAAATAATTATTTATAGTTTAAATGATAATCTTAACGCTTATTGGTTAATGAATGCATTCAAGTAACTCCATCAAAGTAATAAAATGAAGTTGCTCATCTTTAATGATTAATAAATATAATCCTTGAGTTACTACCAAAATAATGACTAATTGGTGCTCTTATTTTGTATGTTTCAATAGACGTTTTATAATTATAGGATTAAGTGCATTTGTAGGTTTGAATATCACAAACATGCAAGTGTAAATTTGTTGACATGGTACAGAAATTGATGCTTATGAAATAATAAATTCTATCAATTATACAATATAGTAAGAATGAGTGGTTATATTGGTGAGACCACTTATAACAACTAATGTCATACTTTAATCTTGTTGTCAATTTTAGAGTATTATTTACTAAATAGTTTCAAGTTAATTGTTAAAATACACCAATTGTCTTAGTGAGTAATAAGAGTAAAAAAAATAATAATATATATATATATAGGGTTAAAAAGGTCTATTGTAGTTGATGAACTTGAAAGAGTTAGCAATGCAAATAGATTTTATGAGGAAACAATTAAAGCTTTTATGTTGTAAGAGTTAGAATAAACAATTATAAAATGAGCTGATTTTGTTTAGTTTTTACCTCTTTGTACAAATTTTAATATCTTTACTAATTGATTTTAAACATCTTTCTATTAACTGTTAATGATACTAACGATGGGAAAAATAATTTTAGAAAATTAATTTACATAAAAATAGATTAAAGAGTAACATATATTAATTTTGAAAGGGAGAGATGTATATTTTTATAATTGTTGTAAATAAATATAGTTCATGTAATTAATTGACATTAATTAATGGATTAGTTATTGTAACAAAAAAAAAATTGTTTTAGTCTTTCTATAAAAACATCTTTTTAACACTACAATTAAAATAAAAATGCACATTTATTAATTATAATTGACACTTTTTCTATGAATTTATCCTAAACTAATATTTTAATAATTAAACAAGCATTATATTAGACTTTAGTCCATGTTACAACTTATTATTTTAAAACTTTTATAAGTGTTAAAATGACAAATTACATTTCCTATCAAAATATATTAATGAAACATTTGTGAAAGAATTAAAAGACAATTATTATTTTTTGGTAAATAGGCTAATTTGTAAATGACTATCACCTGATCAAATGTATATTTTTAACCTTTAATAAGTTAGAGAGAATGAAAATGTATTTAAACTTTATTTAAGAAAAGAAATGCAAAGTCTCCTATGTATAAAATTACAAAAAGAGAGTATTATAATAAACAAACATAAGAAAATTTATTGACATACACACTTTTAATGCTACATATAAAGCATGTCCCTTCTCTGCTTCGTAGCCAATTCGATCAGGGACTAACTTCTCCAAAATAGGTGAATATATAGAAGTGAATTAAAAACTGTCATGCCACCATAGCCCACCAGTGGATATATACTAGTAACATTCATAAACCCAACTTAATACTATCAATTAAAACAAGGAAATCATTGTTGTAGCCAAAAATGCAACAATGAACACAAAAGAAGCAAAGCATTGTGAGGCTGAAGATGCATCGGTAGAAGTAGAAGAAGAAGAGGAAGTAGAAGGTGATGATAACGGTGATGATGATGATGATGATGGTGACGATGCAGGGGAAGGTGCATTCCCTTTTACTGTTGTAATCTTCACCTTCATGCCTTGACTACAGTGACCCAAGGTACCACAGGTGAAGTACCTTGTACCTGCCTTGTCTAGTTTAACAACATCGTTGCCACTACTCAAGGACTTGACTGGGCTGCTAATATCACACTTCTTATAGGCACTTTCGCTGCTTAACTCAACCACACTATGTAAAGAAGAGTACTTGAAAACTGCAAAATAATAATAATAATAATAACAATAACAACAGTGAATATTTAAATTGGTTTGTGAAAAAAATACCAACAATACTTTAATTTTTGAAAAATTTGAAAACTATTTTAATTTTTGAAAATTATAAGTATGAAATACTTTAGTCCTTGTATTCGGTGTATAGAAAGAATCAAATATCTTATATTTATAATTCTGAGAGACTATTTAGAAGAAGCTTTTTTTTTTTATTTCAAAAATTAAATTGGATCAAGTGATGATTTTAAGGGGCGAAATTGGGCATTTTTTCTGATAATAATAATAAAAACAACATAATGATCAAATTTATCAACACAATTTTAAAGAAATTTCTTTGTTTTTGTAGCTTTCAGACGAAGGAAAGTCTTTGGGGGCATGCAAGGAATGAAAGAACTAAGTAATAATTATGGATAAGAAACATACCAAGTTTATCTCCAACCTTGAACGTTTGCCCTGAACTCCATGTGTTAAGGTCTGTGGATGGATCCCAACCTTGGCTTCCACCAACAACATGTTGTGCTGCTAAGGCCTCCTTGGCCATCAAGATAGCCACCATCACCAAGAAAACTGTGTTCATGCGCCCCATTGTTTGGTTTTCTCTTTGTTATGAGTTTTCTGCTTTCTACCACTCTTTGGAAATGACCCTGATTTTCTTTTAGCTTTGTTATGGTTCATTCCTATTTATACACGAGGTCAGATAGCATATTATGTCTCAGTGGTCACTATTTACGACATAGTAAGCTATTTTCATTGTATTATTATTGTAGTATGTTGAAACTAATACTAAATTGTGGGTTTATTATAATGTGACGTGTTGATAAATTAAAAAAAATTGCCTAAATCTAATTGGTTGAACATAGCTTGGCAATCTCTTTGATTACAGGGCAAAACAATGGTGCAATGTTGGGAAGTATCCATCCTTTGTTTCTAGGGTTTGGATTGGCCGCCAAGCGTTCTCTGGTGGGTAAAGGTTGTTATATAAAGCTTAGAGTTCAAACAAAGTTATCATGAATCACATCCTCAGGGATGGCTAGTTTTGATGCTCAAGTTTTAATTTAGATGACAGAGAATGGCCTAAAAATGTAATCAGATATGATAAATACATCTATTAATATGATGACCTTAATAATGTGGCAATTTTCGAATGTCAAAATGTCCAAATTAGAACTTCAAATTTTAGAAACTGTAAATTGACAATATCAAATCCTTTTGCTGAAAAAGCACGTTTCCTGCTTTGTACTGAACTAGATACCTGCAGTCTAATTTATTATTCTAGAAATTTTTGAGGTAATGTTTCATTTATTTATTTATTTTCTCTTATGAGTATTTTAGTATGGAGACAGAAAAGCTTGGACCAGTGTGGCCAAGTTCTTTCGATAACAAAAGGAACGTGTATATCCATGCTCAGCTCTTTAACAAACTAATTGAAAAATAAAAATTCAGAAGTAGCTATACCTCCAATTAAAACAAACTACAGCTAACTATAAATACAGATCATAAGATTAGGTAAGTTGCTGTATTTACATAGACATGTGTGGATGGTGTTGTATCATGTGATAATAACTTGGATTAATGTTAATGGAAGTTTAATCCTTGGATTTCAATGTAACTATTTTACTGTAACTAAGATGCAATTCGGGAAATTCTAAGTTATGCTCCACGTGAAGGGTTAAAATTGATGCTTGAAAAATTCTGTAACAGCATTGTACACTATGTCCTTGGCATTGAATGCCATAATGTAGTCAGCATGAGCATAGTCCTTGACAAACTGAACACTTAGCTTGTCTACATCATGGAACTTAATGTCATCAAGTAAATTCCTCACATCAATATCATCAGAAAGTGCTTCTTTACCCCCATAACTTAGGAAGAGAGGGAGGTTTTGGGGGATATTTGAAAGGTTATAGATTGGAGGGTTTACTGCTCCATAATGCTTAATATTAATGTCTGGCTTCTCATAGTTGAATTTTGTCAAAACCCCACTTCTAACAGCTGCATCAAATCATAGCAAAACCTTCCTTATTCATTTATCAAAGTAATTGACTCAATTAACTGCAAGATTAGCTAGATTGGGATAAATCTTACTTTGAGATAAGTGCACCATGTTCTTTGTTGATGTTGGCTGAGGTTCATTCATGATGAATAGATCAACTGTTGAGGAATTAAGGCAGCAGTTGTCACCTGAATAGAACGATTCAACCATATACACTTCAATAATATTAAAATTACAAAATTTTGTCTAAAATATTTTATTTTATTTTCATAATATTAATTAAAAGGGTATTTTAGACCAAAAATTACTTAAATAAGAGTGACAATCCAGGTATAAGAATAGCAATAGACACAAAAGTGTTTGGGCAAAGACTTAGACCGGTTATTGCTGTAAGGAAGTCCTTGCAGTCTACCCCGGGTTGAAGGCAAAGAGAGTTGATAAATTTAACAATAGGTAACCTAGTCAAAGTAAATGTTGAAAGAACATTATGTATATACTGTAGATATATAGATTAGTAATGAATTTTAAAATATAAGGAGACAACCTCTTATGTTATACTGTAAGTTCTATGTATGTATTGCTCTTACCCTTTAGGATCAAACTCTGCCACGCCGATTTTGGTAATGATCTGTTTGAGAAAACAAGAAAAATTCCTGGAATTAGGAACCTCTCTATCTGCTAATATGATTTTAAACTTTCAGAATAACAGGTGTTAAACCTAATTTAAATAAACTTTTCAATAAATATTTATAGAAAAATAAAGAACATAAATTAATTTTAATTTTATAGGAGAAATTTAATTCATTTTATTTTATTTTTCTCACACAAGTACGTATCAAAATTAGAGTTTAGTGCTATTGGTTATTAATGTACCTCACCAACAAAGGATTTGGCAGCAATAACTCCAAGTGCTGTCTTCATGTAGCTCAAATAGGCAACTGGACTCAACATTGCTGCTGATTTTAGCTGATTCACCAATTTCCCTTCCGAGAAGGATGCCAAAGCTACCAAAGTCCCCTGCCAAACATGGCCTTAAAGTTCTAGTATAATAGAATCAAACTACAACCAAAATTGTTAGACACAGTTGTTTTATGACAAATGCTAACCAGTATCATAAGACAGTAGTTAAACAATTGAAAACGGAATGTTTTTGTTAGAAAATGTTACTAATGCAACTTCCTTTATAATATTTAATGAATCCTAACATGATTTCTAATAAAATAAATTTACTTTCAGTTCTTTCATTGCATAAGATATTTATTTGACGAAGTTACCAAAGAATGGCCAACGTAATTTATCTTCTGCCCTGTTTGGGTGGACACATAATAAAAAATAGCTGGGAGATCATAAGTAACCATTTCATCCCAAGACCAATCCCAATAGGCCTGTCATATTAACATAGAAATGTTAATTCACTAATAGGATGATAACATTATGAGGAAAAATAAAACAAAAACAGAGAAAAGAAAGAACGAACCTGGCTAGAGGGGTCGAGTGAGGTGTGTCTGTGGCTATATCTTGTTCCTCTGGCGTTAGCAATCCACACATCGAAGCCATTATCAGCAAGAATCGAAGGCAGGTTTTGCTCTGGAGGATTCAGAAGCCATGACATTCCATCCTGCAGAGTCAGAAGAATATAGCAATAGGACAATAAAATATTGGATAAATATAATAATTTTTTAAACTATTAGGTACAAATATAGAGCTGTTTTTTTTATATTATTTTTTTTGTAAATTACAGGAATATGAGTTTTTTTTTTTTTTTGGTAAAACTTCAGAAATATAAGTGTTTTTCAAAAATTGCCAGTAGCGACTTTTGGCCAAGTGATTTTTGAGACTTTACCATTTTTTTGTTTTTTTATCTCTGAATTTTTGTATTTATACTAAAAGTTACTAATAATAATTTAAAAAAATACCATATTTTAGTATATATTATTTCTAAATATCATATATAAAAAACTAATCCTAAAAAATAATAATATATATTATTATAACCTTATTCATATTTTTCTCAATAATAATTTTATAAAAAAATTAAAAATTATTATATATGACGTGTTAAGTCTCACATAAATTATAAGTAAGCATCGTTAGATATTTAAATTATGTTTATATTGCACATTTAAACATTCCATAACAAAATGTTAACTAGTAATTAGAAAGTTAAAAAATATTAAAAAGACTATAAGTAAATATTTTATTAATTTTTAAGAATTTCAATTAATAACCTTATGAAACTAATGAGCCATACCATGTTTTATTATTCATTTACGCAGTGATCTTAAGATTCGGTGGTGAATTCTAAGTGGCTTTCAAAATTAAAGCAAGCAACCCACTGCGGAGAAGCGTGTGTTGCCGTCAAATTGCTTATAGTGACTGTTTTAATTTATTTAAAATGTGTGATTTGTTTATGCCTCTAAAATTATCTGTAGAATAGCAGAAAAAAAATCATAAAAATAAAAATATAATAAAAAAGGAGTAAAGAGATAAAAAATAAATATAAAAGAAACTAAATGTAAAAAAAATATAATTTTCACTTGCCTTTCTTTTAAGGATTTTACCATGTTGCCCATAAGCATGAATTTCCCCCTATAATTTTTATATCTAGCCAAAGAAATATTCCAAAGCTAATTAAGTTGGAAAATAAAATACGTTTGACAAATTAATCTTATCTTAGGTCGATTTCTACTTTTATTTAAAAGAAAGAGAAAAATAAGAATAAAATCTTTTATTTAAGTTATTAGATGTAATATCGCCTGAACAAATTTTTTGTATTAACAACACTAGCTATTGCACCCTCTCTATAACCCTTTCTTGGATATTGACTCAATTGAATTTTTAGTTTCTATATTTTATTTAGTTTCTTTGCGATTTTTATTTTATTTTTATATTTAATTGGTCACATTTAGTCGTGACTGTTTTCAATTGTTCAATAATTAGAAAATATAATACTGCTAAATATATTATTAATTTGTATAGCTTTATAAAGAAAAAATAATATATAAAAATTATTAAATAAAAATTATTATATTTTATATATTTTAATTATTATTTTAAAATAAATTTTTATTAATTTAAATAAAATTATAATATATAAGATTTTATTATATTTTTATTAATTATCAGATAAAACTTGAAATGAGTAACTTAATTTAAATAATTAAAAAAATAATTAAATATGAATTATTAAAAGTAAAAATTTTATAAATCAATAATATCTTAAATTTTTTGTTTACCAAAAAATTGAAATTATACATAAATTAAAAATAGTGGACTATCTTTTTGCATTATTGCAATTCTTTTTAATCAACTTCCTTCCATTACCAACCAACGTTTTTCTTTACAAATTCTCCAAAAAATCATGAAGTGTCAGAGTTGTGGGAGATATTCCAAAAGTATAAAAAAATTGAGGATTTGTTTATTTTGAAGAAAGGGACAAGGATGGACGCAAATTTAAATTTGTGCGGGTTTACAGAGGTCATGATGTCTATGACATGCAAAAGAGACTGAGTTTTATAACGATAGGATATATGCAAATGACAGTGAATGTGTTTAGATATAACATAGCTGACAATAGATAGAAAATCACAAGACAAACTCAAGTTCGTGCGAAGATGTCAAAACTATTGACCGGCATTGGGACTAAGATGGAAGGGAGAGGTAGTGCTGGTGAGTGAAGCTATGCAGATATAGTGAAGGGAAATAGTATTGTTGGAGGGCCAAACAAGAATGCAATGTGGTACCTAAGAAACAACAGTGGTGTCATATCAATTTCCATGTTGATTAGTGAGGTGCTGCAAGGCGGTGGTGGAAAGGTTACACTGGCTAAAAATGCTCAATAGTGTAGCTAACTTTCTCTTACGGAAATCTATACTGAATGTCAAGGCTATTACCATGGATGACGATATGGTTTTGTTGAAATCAGAGGGTTCAGAGGATTTGGGGAGGTTATAGTTTGGTATAAAGATGGCTTATCTAGCTGTTTTATACCATTGATTGGTGGCACCCTCGTACGGTGACTGTTAATAGGGAAATGTGGGTTCGTTTGTATAGCGTGTCATATCATGTTTTGTTAGAGACATTCTTTTAGAAGATGGTGTCACTAGCAGATTTTGTATGTATGGACAATGATACAACTTCCTGAATACGTATGAATTTTGCAAGAGTTCACCTAAGGACTCAAAACACATGCATTGATTAACGAAGATATAAGGATTCATTTAATGATCTTGTGTTCTCAATCCAGATGGTCGAGGAACATAAGGGAGAATTCTTTCAAAGAAGGTGATGGTATCATGATTCAAATATTTTATCATTAAAGGGTTATGATAATGCTTCATTGGATTTGGACTCCTTAGAGGATGAAAGTTTAGATGATGATGAGAAGGGCCGCGATCTAACAACAGGAAGCACAACAGAAAAATAGTGACCAAAGATCGTGTCGAGAGCACGGAAGAGGGGGAATAAGGGTGGATTATCGGGGACAAAATTTACATGATTATGTGCTAAACATTACACAATATCATCAGGAGTTTGAAAGTATGAAATCAAATTCTATGAAGAACATAACATATGAAGAGAATTTAAATTATGAAGTGAATATCAATAATGACTTGATTTTCAATAATAATGTAGATGTTATGTGATTAGATGATGATGCGTTTGAAAAGGAGGTTGGTGGGCCTTTGTTGATTAAAACTTACGAGGAAGGGAATTGGTGGGACACAAGAGTAAAGATTATGACAACTGAGTGTTATTGATAAAGGAGTAATAGAAGGCAAGAATGTGACAAAAATAAAGTTTATTAGCGAATCTAACGGCCTGATTATTAAGCCTTCTCATGGGTCAGGCTAATCACGTATTGAGTCAAGTACTAAATTCTCTTCAATCCAACATTGTTAATAAGGTAGTGTAAGAAAAAAATTAATGTTAGGAGTGTACTTCATAAGACAAAAAGGAAAAAACGCGACTCCAAGTTACGGGCTCGATCTAATTCTATAAAAAGATCAAAGCTTGAGCCAAATGTTTGAAATATGCATCTTAAAAGTGACTTGCAACAGGACATTAGAAAGATCGATTCTATATGTAAATTGGATTAATGATTTCTTAGCATGCATTGTTATAACAGGTTAAAGTATATCTTGTACTTTAAATTAGTTCTTAATAAAATAACACTTAAAAAAAAACTCATTTTGAGTCGTCCTAAAGCCTGAGTGTTGCATACATTGTCGTTATACTTTTGACTAACGGAAATATATATATATATATATATATATATATATATATATAATTTATACGATTATAAATCAATACGATATCTAATATATTATTATTGTTTTTTAAATTTTTTATATAGGCCTCTCAAGAATATTCTTCATATATTTAAAAAAGACACTTTAGGTACAAAAACCTTTTCCACAAGAAAGCAACTCGAGAGCCATAAATATAATGCATGTTAGTGATGGAAAATTATTTAAATTAACTGATGAGGAAATTGACCTTTCTGTAAGAGTCAGATACAGAGCCAGATTCACGCAATGAGACGAATCGATATTTCTGGTCGATGATGTAACTTTTCTTCTTCTAATGCATGTTACCACCCAGAAAGCTGCTTTTTATTTTAGATGAAAAGGACTAATGAAAATAAATATTTTTTACAAGAATTTAACGTTCATGAATATATATAACATTAAAATAATAATTTTTGTCATTTATTATTATTATTATTATTATATCTTTGAAATTTTTAATCATGTAACTGGGTGATTGATATGATGTAAAAATAGTATAAACACATGTAATAAGGTACAAAAATACGATATAGATATTCGATAATTAAATTGAATTAGTGCATTGCTAACTTACTACTAATACTCCGTGCTGTATTATCACTGGCTGCTTCTTAATTCCACGACCAATAACCTCACCTCGACCTTCAGGGATCCTTTGAAGGCTAAGAATGTACCCATCTTGGGTTGTAACCTGAAAAGCAATGTATCAAACATTTTACTATACATATTATATAAATGCAAAAGCAAAGTTCTAAACTGCATTAAGCAACAACAATTGCCGCCCCAGTATTAAGGTTTCGTGATCGTTGTAATCGCAAATATTATGAACGCAATATAAAATATTTGTCAAAACATTTCAAGTTATAGATATAAGTATACTTGTGTCCTAATAAAAATACATGTTTAGAGCTCTTACTTCATGTTCCTGACATGTGTAGCCTTGAACAGTGACCGAAGAGACGCATAAGCCTTCAGGAGAATGTTCAGCAACAATGTTTTTTCTACCAAAAAAGTCACGGTTTGATGCTTGTGTTTGATGAGGCACTGCTGCAAAGCCAAAGGAACAAAGGGTCAATGCAGAAAAACCCAACAAGCCCAGTGGAGTCATGTCTTTTGGTTAGTCCATGAAAATGGAAAATGTGGGATTGAGAATGAGTATATAAGATGAGTGTTGAGTGAAAAGTGGGACAAGATAGGAAAATGGGTTAATCAAAGGATTTTTTTCTATCTTTATTTTATTTATTTTCCTCGTATCTTCGTTTATGTTTTTTCTCCTAAATATGAAAGAAGCCGTATATTTTACTGCTTATTTGCATTGATTTTAATATTTTTTGAAAAAAAATTAGAATGAATATTTGTTTATCTTTGTATAACGTGTGTCCTAGTAAGAGAAATTGATTTTATGAATTTGTCCAGTGATTATCAGTGATTAGAAAAGGTCAAATTCTTGGGAAAGATTTTGCAATTGACTGCTTGAGCTTAATATGAAAGGTTATAGATTTTTAATAATTTTATTTCTTTTTACAATATGCTGCCATCAATTTTCTTCTTATTTTAGAAGATAACATTGGATAGAGATAAGGATATTATATATATATATAATATACACACTCTAATCTTTATTTATGTGATATTATCGTATTTCATACATCATATAAAAATTTAATTAAAATATATATAACTAACTGAAATAAATTAAAAGAAAGTTGTTTAAATTTAGGGAGAAATTGAAAATTTGTAAAATATTTTGAAAAAACATTTTAAAAGTACAAATATCCAATATTTAAAATTTCAATATAAACATTAAAATTAGTTAATTCTAGGTTTTGAGGAGAAAAGAAATTTAAGACTAAAAATTGAAATGAATTAATAATTTAATATTTTAAAATATAAAAAATAAGTATTACAAAATTAGCGAAAACATTTATCATCGAAAGAAAAACATTATAATAGGAGATGGTCTTATTTTAAGAATAATGACTTAAATTTATAATATGAAAAATACGTTATGAAATACGTTTCAAATTTGAATAAATATGTTATGAAATATAAACATTTTAAATTTATGAAGTAAACCAAAAAAAGGAAAGTTATAAAAACGTGAAAAAAATACTTTAAAATATAAATAATTGAAATGAACTATCAAAGAAAACATAAAATAATTAAAAGATATTTCATGATAAATAATATATATGAGAAATTAACTTTTTGGTGAGTCTAATGGCATGGTAAAATCATGTGTTACAAGAATTAAAAGAATATAACAACAGATGTCTTCAAATTCGAAAATACGAAATCAAATTATATAGGTGCTAAAGTCAAGAAGGTTGATTCTTCCATTTTTTTTTTTTCATGAATAACAATACATTAAGATTTACCGGAATTTTGTCATATTTGACAAATTTATTAAGTTAACAAGAATGAAAATATCTTTTGAAACATTATGTAAAAGCAATATTCTAATCAAAACACAGAAAGAAAATACGTCAATCTATTGATAACAAAAAGCGTTTGCATAGCAAAGACTCCACTACTCTATAATATTAAATGAGATCAAGCGTTTGTGCAATTGATCGTCTGTGGCATCATCAAGCATTACCTGTGAGAAAGAGATGGCCAAAACAAAATCTTTCTCTAAGTGATATGCAACTACTATCAAAATAAGTAAAGATAAGAATGTTTTCAGAATGATATACGCCAAACTAGTTTTAGGAAAAGCCAAAAGGGGACAAGTACTAAGGGGAAACCATTACTTTGAAAAGAATGCAAAAATGGCTTTGAAGAGAGAATTGCCAAAACATAGTACTACATGTATTAACAACCGTCCTCACACCTTAAGAAACAAAGGATGAAAGTTTAAAGAGTACAAGAATCCTTCAACTATTTATGCATGGACAATATGAAGTGGCGCCAGAGCAGAAGCACACAACAAAATAGAAGCACCAAGTTCTTTCATTATTTATAGTAATATGTTATCTATAAGCTTACCTTATACATCTTTAGATAGCCTAAAATTTATACTTTTGGTTCTTTTTTATGTGTTACACATTAAGAGTCTTTGAAGGAATGCTTGTTTTGTGCAAATCTAGAAAAGTTTGTGTAAGAATATTTGAGAGGTGAAAACTTTTGTATTTAAAGATCTTTATAGTGAAACTTTTGGCTTCAAAGTCAAGCACTAAAAGTAGTCCTGAGTTTAATGGATGAATTAAAATAAATCTTTGATGTTTAGCTTCTCTCTCTCTATTTTTTGGTTTATTAATTTTCATCTATTAATTTAAAGGGCTTGTAGAATTGAGAGCTTTGGTTTTTAAAGAAAGGCTTTTTGAAAAAAAAAAAAAAAGAACTTGTTTTATGTTCGGTTACATATGCTTGTTCCACAAAAGTTCTTTTTATATACCGTGTGCTGCATTCAACAACAAACCATTGTAGAGGAAAACGATTTGCGAAGTTATGGATTTTTAAGCGAGAGTTTATCTCGCGTCCTCCAAACGTCTTTAAAGATGACTATCCCTATAAAAGAAATAGGATGAAAATGTTCATAAAATAGCTTCATTTCTTGATTTCATATGCTTAACCATAAATTTTGGAATCATGTGTTTTCAAAGTACCTTGTGTTGTAATAAAATAACTAGCACACACACACACACATGAATGCACCTAAAATTGTTGGTGTCGAAGAAACATCAACATACACAAATTAAACAACCATTAGCAATGACTTTTTCTCATTTCACTACCTAAATTTCAAATATTTTGTCCCTAGCTTTTCAATTTTGCTTCAAAGAAAGTGTGTCACACACTTTTGTTTAAATTATGTGTTATATGCTTATCCTTGTATTAGAAAAAAATTGATCCTATTAGGTACTACGTATAGTTAGACATTTATGTAACATAATTTTTACTACTTGTATAAAAGTAAGGTTTTGTGTGTATTTTTCAATCAAAAAAAATTTTTTCTTGATTAAACCTTGCACTCCTCTCTATCTTATCTTGCTACTATTTTTTCTTTTTATGTTTTTTCATTTGCTAACTATTAAACTTGCACAATCTACAATAGAATCATAGACCAGTCTCTTCATTCTTTAGACAACATATCTTTGACATCATCAACCATCTATTCACCACAACCTACCTATAAGACAAAGACTCTTCATTTTAGTTTTCTAGATTGCATATTGTCTTCCTATTTAGCCATGTCTTTTCAACCATGAGTATTTATGGTAACATAAAAGCACTATGATCACTATCGCAAATTGCCGTTAGCTTTTCATCAATGGGCCACCATTGCCAATGCTCTTATAAACTTTGTATCGTTATTAGCTTTCATCAACAAGCCATGTTGTCCAAGCTTCACATTATTGGGAAGACTTTGATACAACAATTTGTTTGGAGGGAAAGTGTACCTGTCAATAAGTAATAAATGGTTCTAAAATAAGTTCCTAAAATATCGTCTCACAAAGATTGATTTTCAATTACTAAGAATTTCTTAATTTAATTGTTTGAGCCTTAAAGATGTGAAATTAAGTAAGAACTAGAATTTAATTATAAAATTAATTATGAATAAAAACAAATAACACAACACACGTCTTAGTTGAACTTATAGGAGAGGAACCTAAGATATATGGGTTTTCTCATTCAATCCTTTATGTTACTTTTCTGTTTAACTCTAAATTTAATTTCCTTGTGATCACTAATCATTTATACAAATATTATTAATACCCAATGATCATGCAATACTAATATTCTTTTTTCTAAATTAATATCCTCAATGATCATGTAAGACATCAATTAAAGAAAGCATAAAGCATCTATGAACTTGTTAATTTAATAATGATTGAAAGAAAAAGATTGCTTTGATCCACCTAATCCTTTATCTCATTTTATCATATAGATCCATTAACAAATTGAAGTACAGTCGCCTGTGATATAATTAATTAGGATTATAATTATGTGCAATAGGATAAAAGCTAATAACGAACAAACTCAAGTATAGATTCAAAGTTCGAAACCCCATAAATTGATGAACAACAATTCCCATAGCCCTAACTATGAACTTTGTAATAGCCGAATTTTGGCAATATTAATTATTGTTATTTATATAAAACTAAATGCATATATATATGTGTGTGTACAAGTATAAATGAATGTTGTGAATTTGCATTTAATGCGTAATGATGGTGTTTTTCTGTGTGGATGTATGATTGTTTGGATTGGACTAGTTGGGCTGAGTGCAGGGTGTAAGACTGGGCTGTTCTCGCTGCAGCGAGAGGATTCTCACTGTAGCGAGAGGGCCCTAGGAGGAAGGACTGAAACTGTCACCTTCTCACTGTAGCGAGAGACGTCTCGCTGTAGTGAGAGAGCGACATTTTGAGGTGCATTTCTGGGTGCAGTTTCGCTGTAGCGAGATTCTGCAGAAACCAGGGTGCAATTTCGTCTAATATTTTTGCCACAACGTGAGAGCGTATCGCTGTAGCGAGAGTGTCACGACCAGAAAAGGATTTAAAGGGGGTTAGGGTTTAGGGGGGGTTAGGGTTTAGGGAGGGTTATTTCTCCCTCCCCCTTTGAAATCCCTAGCTCCTCTCTCCCCACCTTTAAGGAATTTCGTCCTCGAAATTGAATCCAACACATACATAAATCACCTAAATAACTTCGGGTATAAGTCTCTCATTCTACTCTCTGTTTCCTATGTGGCATCTCCCTCATCGCTCGAGCTCTATATTACCTTCACCAATGATATCTCTTTACCCCTCAACTGTTTAACACGGTGATCAACAATTCTCACCGGATATACGTCATACGACAAGTCCTCTCTTACTTGAACCAGGTCAAGATCAATCACATGGGAAGGATCTGGCACATATTGCCTAAGCTGTGACACATGGAACACTGGATGTAGATTCGAGAGATTCAGAGGCAACACGATTCGATATGCAATAAGAACAATTCTACTCAGCACTTCGAACGGTCCAATAAACTTAGGAGATAGCTTCTGAGACTTCAAAGCTCTCCCCACTCTGGTTATAGGTGAGACCTTTAGAAATACATGGTCCCCCACTTGGAACTCCAACAGTTTCCTCCTCTTGTCATGATAACTCTTTTGGCGGTCTT